AATCGTTCCTTTTCGATTTTAAGCACACCACTTTCTTTATATTTTATTAATATTCCTTGCCCATAACATTCAAGTCTTGTGTTAAAATCTAAGAGTGGATGTAATTGGTCGTTGATGAATTCAGCTTCTTTAAATATTATTGATAATAAATTGTTATCATTTGTATAACTTTGAAGCTGTTCATTGTCTATTTTTTCTTCATTGATTCGTTCTCTTCTTACCATGCCCATTTCATTGATTTCTGTTGTTTTGTTAACATCTACATAACTTGATAAAATATCAATTAATCCATTTTCTGTTTGAGCTTTAAGTTCACTGATCGTATCTTTAATTGTATTAAATTTGCATATTGTGCATGGCAAAGGTGTATTGACATGTGGGTGATTTCTTATTGGTCGGGTATCAATAACCATATGTTCATTAGCATCTTGATCAGCAATTTCTTTGTGACTATGAACATTCTAGTTTTCTATTGAAATCATGGGTTCATCTAATTCCATTACACTTTGTTCAACAATAACTGGTACATTTGATGATGTATTACAAAATGATTTGTCCACAATTTGCGAACAATTTTGGTCGACATCCATTTCTATATCATCATTGTTAAATTGTTTATTCACAACAACATTTTTTTCGATTTCTATTTGTTTAAATATAGTAACTTTTTCGACAAACTCGTTTAAGTTAAAATTGTGTTGATCATCGTTTGTAATTAAAAGAAATTTTTTGTTGAAACTTGAAAAATATTTTTTATTGAAAACGATTTGATTTTGAAAATCCTTTTTAATGATATTTATAGGCAATCCCATAATTGTGGTTGTTCTGTTATTTAAATAATCAATGTAGTTTCTTTCAAAAATGTTATTCTTTTCAAATGTATAGTCTTTATGGTGTCTTGTTTTGTGAGACGAGAGTGCTTTAAACCATTTTTTACATTCCAAACAATAATAAAAAATTATCGATTCAATCTTTGTCTTAACTTTAGCCATCAATATATTATTACAAAAATTTTCAGGCTTAACAATAATCAATTCGTATGTATCGGTCATTTGTTTTAACAAGTTTTGTTTAAAATCATATTTAATCATTATTACCCAAAACAATTTTGAATTGTTTGTATTATTTTAATTTTAAAAATGTATATTAATGTATTAAAAATAAAAATTATTCAATGTAATATGATTTAAATGTTGATAATAATAATATATTAGTAAATTATGTATAACATATTTTGAGTTTTGAAATGGTTGTTATAATTATATAATTATAATTAATAAAATAAATTGTTATTTAATATCCTTAATTATCGTGTTTTAAATAATTTTATAGACATTTTAATATAATTATTTCAAAGAATTCAAAATATATATTTTAATATTTGTAAAATACATTACTATTATTAATATTAATATATACATATATGATTATTATGAATAATTGTTATATTAAATAATAATGTTTATCATCTATTGTATTTTTGTCAAAAAAGAATCTTCAAAATCATAATAATGTTTCAAAAACAAATATTAATTACTTATTTGCAAGTTTACAATAATTTTAAAGTTTATTTGTATTTTTCAAAAATCATTGAAATTTTAAAGTCTTTTTCTGTTGTTTTTCGAAATGGATGTTTTCGTTTTTATATTAAACAATCTTGGCAATTTTTTAATTTTGGTGTTTATTTTGTTTTGAGTTACTTTAATTTTATTTAAATTGTAATAATATTACGTTTTTGTCAACAAATCAAACCATATTATAAATCAATGTTTTTCTAATAATTATATTATTAGCTATCTTTTTTTAAAAGAAATATGTACATTATATATTAATTGTATTATCATGTAATTAATGTTTATAATATATAAATTAATGATGATTTATATGTATATTGAAATTGTTTTATAAATAAAATATTTATGAACAATCATCACGCTTTTAAATATTTTTATATTCATTAAGTTTTATTTATTCTATCCAATTATTTAGCTAGGAAACAAATAATTAAATATATAATATAATTATGATAATTAATCATATTTTATTTATTATTATTTTATTTACATTTTTAT